AAATTTCACTCGTCCTTCGGACTCGTGAAATTATGGAAAACATGCAATCGTGAAAAATTATCGGTAATTTCAAAGCTCTCGTGGTATTACCCCCGGTAAGCTTCCAGATCTTGTCAAATTTATCAAAATTGATATTTATAAAACTTTCCTTTTGCATTCAACTTAAATTTTTCGAAATTGGTTCCAGGTCTTCCTATCTTTTTTGCTTTAAGACAGAACAAAATCGAGCTGATCAGGATTTAACCGAAATAATTATCTGATCTTATTCCCATCTAGTTTTAAACAGTCATTTATAAGAATATCGAAATATATCTTCTCCTGCACGACTTTGGAATATAGCATGTATCTTATTTTTTTGTTGGTCCTGAAGTTGTTTTTTAATTAATTGTTCTTCTCTTTTTTCATTTTCTAACAAAACAAGGGTTAAAAGTTCGACCTCCTCTATCTTTTGAACAGTTTTGCTCAATGGTACCTCTCGAACTAATCTCTTGAGCTGATATGTTGCGGCTATAGACGCATCACCCAAAACCACACCTCCTGAGACTGCGGCCAAACGTAGCACCTAGTCACAGTCGCCGATCGCACCACCGAAATTGCTTCTTTACCGCACGAGTTACGTTTATTGGTTAATGAACTCGAACCTTAACCCAAACAAAAACTATAAAAAGTATCAATCAAAAGTACATACCTACAAAAAGATACGGTCTCACACTGAAAATAGCATTGCACTTACCAAATACGTATCTGAAAGAAATGAAAAATAAAGTTAAAAAAGTGAAAAATAGTGTTAACCACTAAAGAAAGTGGTAAGTAAAGAGACGTCACCAATATGTACCTGCATTAAGCGTTTTGAAAAAATATACATTGGTTTTAAATAGAGGCACAAATATTATATTACGGTACAAAAGACGAAAGTCGAAGTTTTGCCACTGCTTGAAGGTGACGCTCGAGGCGAAGCCGAAGGCGTCATGCACGCAGTGGTAGGCCTTCGACTTTCGTCTCGCATATCGTATACTATTTTTCTTGATCCTCGGTGGAAACTAGCCGGGAAAAATTTATATTTTAGACTTGAACATTTTGAGCCTTAAGCCCATGAAATGCACTCTTTATTCATCGAGGGTATTTTTTTAGTCAGTTGATATGAAAGGAGACGAACGAAACAAAGACATTGAAACATGATTGCTAACTAACAAAAATAGCGACAAAGACACAAAAACGTGTGCAAGATTACATATTTATACTAGGAAATTCTGGGAATATAAATTGGCCTAGTAACAGTAGCACTATTGCCTGGAAGGGAAAACTTATTTTTGGTTTAATTAAACGGTAAATGAAATATTTTATTACGCGCTTAAATTATTAACCTACTACTATTAGTTACGCCCTAAAATGGTACATAAAAACATATTTTTCTTCGAGTTTTGCACACAAAACACTGACTTTCGTATATACACTTGTTAATCTAAAATTGCACGTGCGTTGGCTAGCTTAAAGAAAACATATCATATACTCGTACATTTGGAAAAATATATCTCCTAAATTTCTCTAAAATGGCTCTGATTTCTGAGCGCTAACATTTTTGTCTGTGATACAACATGAAAACATTATATATGAACGTTTTACTTTTGCTTTACATCTATCCACATTAGCGGAATTGTTTTACCCTTTGTTCTCTCATTTACCTGGAGGATATGTATGATAATCTTTGAATTTTAAAATCTATACGAGGTATCTCCAGAAACCGCATCAATAAATAATTCAGAAATCAGTTAACAAAACAGTTTGTTTGTTTTCCAAAGACATAAAATCAAGTTAGAGTTACTTAATCAAATAATCTATATATTAAAACAATTCGCGAGTTTAAGTCAAACTTTTATCAAAGATGGTGTAAAGTGTGTATTAATGAATGCAAGAAAGTAGATTAAAATGCCCCTTTTTAAATCGGTTTTAGTGGGATATTTGTTAGTTTTTACAAGTTCAAAGTTCACAAATTTACCCACTGTTATATATCAATGATTCATTTAACAATTAGAGACGGATGTAACTTATGCCCAAAGCAATCGACAAATCTATAACATGCTTTTTATACAACATTCCCCATAGATAAAACACTACATTCAAGTAATATTTGCTTTTTCAGCAAAAAAATGTATTTTTTAATTAGACGATTTTCAGATTAAGCAATCTTTTATAACAATATGCCGGAACCTTTTACATGCACCCAGTAAATAGAATCAATATATTTATATGTGCATTATGACCAATGGACACCATTTTTCAAAAACTACGCAAAGGGTTTTTAGGTATATTTTTAAATTACGTGAAAATTTGCAATTCGGTCGTTTCTTTAAAACTACGGTCTTTATATCCTTTTTTTATTTTAAGACACATCCAAAGTTGTAACAATATAAAAGAATTACCAACAATCAGCAAGTTTTATTGATTGGGTTCTGAAATATCATCGATACAGGTCCTCAAGACACACCCTGTATATACTTTTAAAAGTTTCGACTTTCCACTGAATAACGTTCAGAACGCTTAGAACATTGATCCATTATTAATCAGAACACAACTGCAACTGCAATGTGCGCTCCCTTAGGAATTACATCCTTTGCACGATCTTCTGCTACACAACTATTTTTTAAATACATTAAGCAACAACAAATATATACAATTATATATACAATGTACACATTTTACATGTTTGTGATACTGATGTACTCACGACACTCTTTCAGATAACCCGAACTGGATAATTTGGTTGGTAAATATTTGGGGCAAGAATCAAACCTTCAGAATATGACTTGTAAGTTAAAAAAAGTTCGGGCATTACCGACACAGTTATAACTTTTTACATCAAGCTGAGAAGTGATCATTGAAATCAAATCAGTAATATTGAGAGTATAAATAAATAACGGTCTAGAGATGAAAAAAGTTCAATACCAATGTGTAAAAACGTAAAATATAGTCTACGTCCCCTGCCCATGTCTATAATCATTCTGTTATTAATGTGCTTTAGTCTTCTGTTTCCTCATTTTACACAAAGGTGCTGAAGTCTCAAAAAGATGAAGGAAGATTGCGAAATGGGAAAAAGGAAAGAAAAACAGTGGTAAAGCATACGTGACTCAACGAACAACACGTACCAGGTGAGAACAAACTTCAAAATTTAGTGCTTTGAAGAAATTGCAATACGGTTTTCTAAACTATCAAATGGAGATGATAATTTATCTACGGTAATGTTTGTAATTCTTTGGAAACGTTGAAAATCTAATAGAGATGAAAAAGCCTGCTGATTTTATACATATATGAAGAAGTACAAAGGATGACGAATTCGTAACTCATTTTAATCTTTTGTTGAAAGAATTTACTAATGGCATATAGACCATAATGTGTGCGCCCACGTGCCATTTTTCCTTAAATCTATGGTTTTGAGACCGTTATTTAATTGTCCTCTTCATTTCATATGCGAAAGAATCACATCTAGTATTGCCGTTTCTACTGAGAAACAGTAAGTTTAATTCAACTGTATCAACCATAAAGTTTCGAGTGAAAGTACTGATTTTATGTGTCTTTGAAACTATATACCATGTGTTTACTCGTGTCGCCGACAATATCGATGTCGCTGTCGCAATCGCTGACGTCCGAATTGCTCTCGGAACTACTTTGTGGATGTTCTGATGGGATGGTAGAAGAAGATAAAAACGCTGATGAAGTATGATCTATAACAATTATTATTACAGATTACGTGCCTATAAATATTCAAGTTCCAACAACTAAACGAAGAGAAATTAAGCAAGCAGCAGTTTATCAAACATACTTGATTGAATGAATGAAAATGGAATACTTGTTGATTATAGGTACAGTATATTTTAAATTTTGATAAAGCTAATTTAGTGCATTTTCTAGACGCACTAATAACACATTTTACCCAAGCGCCCAATCTATACATACCTAGGTACCTACATATAAATGTGGAAAGTCCTCATAGCGAGTTATTCGTTATGATCAGATGCTTATTCATATACAATGTGTTTAATAATTGTGCGCAAATATTTTGATCGGGCTTAGTTAGCGATTTTTGCTCGGGCTTAGAATATTATAGAAAAGGGAGTCAAAACAACCAAAATATTTTTTGGTCGTTTAAAAACTTACTACAATGATATTTCTGGTACCCGTCCTAATTTGTTTAATAATATTTAATGATAGTGTACCTTCTTTAATAGTTCTGTTCGTATACTTAATATTATACGAAATAAAAAATATTATGAGCTGCCGATTCCACATATTTATTATTATTATCATATCTTAATAATTGCCATTAAATATTAAACTTCATTCTGGTAGTATTTCAAAATTTACGATATAAGATAATTTAGACTTGATACAGAAATAGTATAGAATTTTATTCTTGAATTACACATAAAATGCAATACATTATTTATCAACCGGATTAACAACTCAGTGTCGAGGTTCAGCATTTTAAATAATAAACATTTTAAATTTTTTTTACAAACTTCTTGTCTTTAAAAAAGACAGAATTTCCTCACGTCTTTTATTACAGATTGATAAATAGTGCTCCTATTTCGCATTAAGAACGAATTATTTATTGAATTTGGTGATTTTGTTCTTTTTCAATAGTGAATTTAATTGTTGGTTCTTTATTATTCAGATAAGATAAAAATTAATCAAGTTTTTGTTCGCCATGACTGTAAATGGACGTCATCAATATAACGCCACCAAATTATTGGTTTAAATTTGTGATTATTAATGAAAGTTGATTCAAAATTTTCCATAAATAAATTACTGAAAAATGGGGATAGTGGTGACCCCATAGCCATTCCAAAATTTTGTTGATAAAAATTGTCATTGTATTGAAAGTAAGTTGACTTAACACATATTGTTAAAAGTTCAATAATGGTGTTAATGCTTAGTTGTGTGCGTTCTTTAAGATTGGTGTCATTTTGTAATTTTTGTTTTATGATATTTAAAGTTTTATCAACAGTGATGTTTGCTAGGCTAATTGAAACATACACTTGTGGAAAATACACATAATATAATTTACGACTGCGGTTGATGCTACGTATACATGACTACTTGAACTAACCTAACTTAACCAAACAGTGTTACCAATTAACAGTTACCAACTTAACAGTTCACTCTAACAAACAGGAACGTTAGTGAATAGACTAACAACATCAAAACTTACTAGAATATGGTTTGGATTTATGTCTATGTCTGATAATTTTTGTAAAAAATGTT